GAAGAGTGGGGCGTTCGGACGAGCTAGGCAGTGTGTTTCACTGCGCGCGTGTGGGTCCTGGTGCGAATAACAGACAATGGTAAGAAAAAATTCATTCACTTATAAGCATAAATAAACTTAAAAACCCTAGTGACAGCAAAAGTAGCTCACCTTTTTCAGCCTCAGGAGTAGGAAATTAAATAAGGGATCGCGGCAGCAAAAAGAAAAACAGAGGAAAAAAGAATGGGAGAAAAACATCGCCTCATCACTCGGCGATCAGCTGATTGTGCGTGGGTCCTAGAACGAATAATAGCAATCTGTATTGTCTCGACACTCGTCTAACGAGACACCGATCGAGGGGCGGGAACGCGAACTACGGCAACAACGGGGATGCCATTATGCCCTGGACGTCGAGATTGGGGGAGTGAGAGGGTCCTTTCTACAAGCCATGGGGGCCGCTGAGTATTAATAAGGTAAGAACTCAACTTTTTTATCATGAACGGTGCCTTTAATGTTCCGCCGCTGCCTAGTGTCTAATAGCTAAATAGTCAGCGAGAGCAGTCTTACCTCGATTTTTGGCAATGGTGAGGGAGCATTATTCATGCACGGCTCTGATTTTCCAGGCTGGTTCCAGAAAGTGCCCGATGGTTGGTAACTCAGCGACGTTATGAAGAGGCTGACAAAATTCTTCAGCGCGCCGCGAAAGTAAATGGAGAAACTCTGCCCGATAAATGGTATTATTACGACTTCGTCCTTTGCGTTCTGCTCTACTTTCGTGAGAGCGATGAATCTTCGAACACTCTATAATCTTGCTGAAAGGGTTGATCTCGGTGACGTCAAATTCTGCTACAGGTGGGAGCAACTCGACTCAGAGAAGGAATCATCGCGCGTGAATAACACAAAAAGATACCACCTATGGGACCTGTTCAGAACGCCAGTGTTAAGAAAAAGAGCACTCGTGGCATTTTTCTTATGGTTAGTTGAACGTGATACGAGTATTACAATGTTTCAGTTTTTTTTCATTTTTGGAAACTATTGCGAAACGGTTCAGGCCTGTTGTCTCCATGGTGTATTACGGTATGGCCTTGAAACCGAATGCGCTCGGTGGAGATATTTACATCAATTTCATCTTCGCAGCTCTTGTCGAGATACCTGGACTGCTCGTTGTGTGTTTGCTGATTGATAGGTAAGAAGCAACAGTAATATGGCCTCCGATCTAATGAATAAGTAATCTGTTCATGACGTTACTTTTAAGTGTTTATTCAGAGTTGGTCGTCGCGTAGTTGTCAGTGGCGGATATTTTCTAGCTGGATTCTGTTTGTTGCTGAATCATTTTATGGGTGATAGCGGTCAGCAATTTTTATTTCAATTTGTTTCTTAATTGAGTCTATTTAATCACAATGATATCGTCGATGCGTCACGGGAAAAACGTAGCAGTCTACATAAACCTACACGTATTTGTGCAATTGTTTCATCACTTGCTATAGACTGTAACTCAACTTACACCAGAAACGTAGAATTGAAGTAACGCGCTGACGAACTCAGAGCGTTTAAAAAAGAATTAAGCGGATTCTAACAAGTCGGTTCATAGCTTCTTCTTTTTCTTTATCTATCGTTCTAAGTTCTTCCGATTTTCTTGGATCGTAGGCTAGTCAGTATCGTCTAATTGAATTACTACTTAATGAACCTTTTCTATTTCATCATACACTGCGTGCAACAAGCGTTTTCTATGCAGCAGTGCCGTACTGATTCGAAAACAAATAGTAAAAGAAGGGAAGTATGAGCAATGAGGCAGTATCGTGGTGAAAGCATGATTTGCTGATTGCACTACTGTTCGCAGAAATCTTTCCATGGCTGCTCACTCGATCAGCTTCCAACTTCCTCTGTAGCCTCCTATCGTCCTTCCAAACGTCCTGTTCTCATGTTCGTTGCGAGTAGAGAAGAGCCGTCCTAATCATAATCACCGAGTGTGACCTTTTACCTAACTCTATTCTCAGATTGCTTTTCTTGAGTGAGCTAGCTTTATTTAAAGGGCCCATTGACTATACGGGCAAAACGGCTTCATCACGCTCATTCGAGACAGTTCTCAATGCTTAAAAGATCTTGGCTGCAGAATTAGAGAAGACGAGTTACTTTGCAGCGACACCAGTGATAGCAATCGTGCAAATGATGGTCGCAAAAGGTGCTATTACTGGTGTATACAGTGCCATTTATACATACTCGCCGGAACTATTCCCAACTGTGATTCGGAACACTGCGATGGGTTGCTGTAGTATGATCGCTCGTGTTGGAGCTATTTCAGCTAGCTACATCAGCTTGTGGATTGTCAGTTCTTTAAAAGCTTTTCTCCTTTCGGCCACGCTCACATTTCTCACCGCACTGGGGGAAATTCTCATTCGCTACATAGAAAGATTGTTCTTTCAATAAGCAGAGCTGCCGAAACACGTGCACTTTGCTGCTTGTTAGTATTTAGGGGGTTGTCCAATTCATACTACCGACGGCGATGTCGGCTTAGGTGGTCGATCGATATACCGCGGGTTGATGGCCGTTTCTACATTAACGATGTTTAAAGCGTAAAAATACTCTCTTTATCTCCATCATTTCCGGATTTCATGTTGATTTTCGGTCTTCTAATTCACTGCTATGTGATGGATGATCATCTAAGTGGCTCACTGCTTTGAGCGCTTGTTCTCATCATCTTCATTGCTTGAAAAAGTGGGAAATGCTGCAGAGTCATCGACCAGCGGGTTATCGATCAACGGCCAACGCTGACGCCTGCGTCGATAGCATGCAGAACTCGAGAAAAGTTATTTTGTCATAATCCCACAGTGCGGTAGAAAGTTGGGCCAAGCTTTGAGGATTCAGTATATTTTTCTTACCATAATTTTGGAACTTTGAGTTCTGCACAGCCTAAGTGGAGATTCTCAGGTTGAGGCATTCGGAAAAGTTTATATGGTTATGCCCTTTGCAATATTGGCAATATCTGCTGGCATTTTGACTCTGTGTTTCTTACCTGAGACGATGGGTCAACCATTATGTGAAACAATTCGGGAAGTGGAAGGGGACGAGGATGAAGATGTTGAGTCGCAGGAGCTGCAGCCGCTTCAAACAAAGGAGTCGGCTGATACTGAACAGACCAACCGTAGTGAAACTGCTAGTTAAAAACCCTTTACGCGTTCACTATTGGTTGGATGTTTGAAACAAAGTTTTTCATCGACCATCAACTGAATCTGATATTATACATTCCACTGTCGTATTGCGATAGCTTCGAAATCTCGTTAATTACGTTTAATTTTTCATATACGCCTTTATCGCTATCATATAGGGATATTCACGAAATTTCCTAGTAATTCCCTTTTCGTAACGATGTTACGGTGTGTCAGAGATGTTTGGAAGTTAGTTCCGTGATTTATGTGCCGTTGTTACAGTGTTGTTGTGAAAAGTACGTAATGTTTTCATTTATGCTCGTTTTATCTTTGTTTTGATATTCATCTTGCATTCACTTTGTGATTGAATTCATGACAGATGTGCTCTGCGCACTTCAGTTAATCACTTATACAAGCATTTCTAGGTTGCTGATTGGATATTGCCACCATGTACCCTTGATTTTCTGTAACTTGCAGTGTTAATTTTCGGATTATTAGTGAAATTTGTAGCTATGTTCTGGGCACCTTTGTTCGATCTCATATAGTTTCGACGTTGATCTTGTTACTGACACGTCATTGAAGACTATCGTAGCGAAACTGAGAATAGATAAGGTGATTTTTTTTAGAGAAATACGGATTTAGTTAAGTGTCGAGCACTGTAATTCAACTGTGAATCAAATTAACAGTAGAAAGAAGCTTTCAGCGAGATGCAGACGTGAGTTTTTCTGTTTATCGGTTTTGCCGTCGGAACCATTCTCGTTTTCGTAATTTCTCAATTGGTGTGTTGTGCTTTCATTGAACAGAAGATGATAAGAAAATGTCTGGTATCAATAAAAGTTGAAGTTAATGACATCAGACAATGTCGTAGAAAGGAGTCAAATTCCATTCATACTTTTCGTAACGTTCGAATGCTTCTCTGGGTGTCAGTGATTCGGGGAAGACAGCCAATCTGCAAATCAGTGTTTTTCTCTCTATCAGACGGGACTGGTAACAAGAAACTGAGGCTGCAGGATCTAAGCAGTGACACTAACAAGAGAATCACTTTCTACCTTTTTCCTTCACCAGGCGGCTACGCACGCTATTGCGTGCGCTAGGGACTGTAGCCATGAGGGACGGAGCCACATGGCCTCTGATTCTCATTATAGACCCTCTTCCAGGACACTTCTGTAGCGGCCATCATTTTTTCTGGGATGTGAAAAGGGGCTGTGTGTGGCCATGAAGAGGGGGGGGCGCGCGATTCACGCGTGACCCCATTAGAGCTCTTCGCGCACGCAGCATCGTTTCAGTACTTTTCTGTTGAGATGGATTAAAGAAATTTGCAGCAGTTCACGGCTTCACCATGAATAGAGCAAATCTCTTTACTATGGCAAAAAAGCCCCTTCAGGCTTGAGAATTCACCTCATAGCTCAACAATTTACTTGCCAAACGTTAAAAATAAGAATACCTTCAAACTTTTTG